TTGATCGTGAAGGTGCTGGTGTCTGGCCAGTATATGTTTCATCAGGCTGTCCTTGTATCGAGTCCTATGCGGGCAGAAAGCGCACTTGAACTTTGGATCGATGCCGCATTCGAAATCGTGATGCCTCTTCAGATGGTGCTTGTGCTTGTACGTTTTCCCACAGGTGGCACAGGTGTGCTTGAACACCACGGGATACTGGGACGACTCGACTGAAACAGACACGAAATTCCATCGGTTAGTCGAGATCGACGATTCCCGGGGCAAAAAGCTTTTTCCCAAACTTAAGCGTCGTCGGACGATCTCGAAGCACTCTCGTTCCTCGAACCTTCCGACGAACATGAAACGAAGGAAGAAAACAGACAGGAGGTAACGGCTCTCGGAAAGGGGATGATTAACGCACCAAACATAGACAAGAGACAAACGTTTGGTATAGAACGTGACATATTTTTATTTCGATTCGTGCCACTCTTTTACGCCGTGTATCGTCGACGACAAAAGTCGCAAAGCTGGTCGCTAATCGAGGCAGGCTTTGCAATTGTTCGCGGATGCGTCTCGTTGTCGTCCTCCGTCCTTTTTCCGTTTATCTATCCTTTTCCCTTTCTTTCTCGCTTAAATCCGCCCGCTCGGGAACCGAAGCAACGAATCAAGAACGGAGATCGATCCATCGCGAACGCCCTCTTTGTCGTCTCTTTACGCGTGTCCGCGTCCGCGTTCGTTCTCGCGTCTTACGTGCTCTTGCTCGTGTACGTGTACGCATCTATGACAGAGGAGTCCGAGAGAAAGAGACAGAGACAGAGACAGAGATAGAGATAGAGAGAGAGAGAGAGAGAGAGAGATCGCTACGCGTTCGCGATTCCGTTCGATGCAGATGCAGACAACGACGCGCTTTCGATTCGCGCGTTTCGATCGATCGACGAAAAAGATCGCGAGAGATCGCTAGTCGTTCAGGGATTTCCCTGTTGCCTGATGGTCGCTGTTCGCGGCGTGAATCCGGACCTGGCGTGCTTCATCATGTGCACCTGAAGATAAGACCTGTAGGTTGCTCGATAGGGACAGAAGGTACATTGATGCATCGGTTGTTTACCGCACTCGTTTATCACGTGTCTCCGTAGATTCTTCATCTGATGGTAACGACGATCACAATTGTCGCACGCGAATCGACCTTGTCCGCGCGATCTTCTCCGATCCTTGGGCATTCGGCTCATGTAGAACCTCATTTTCGCGTAATCTGCAACCAGGAAGAAACATTCGGTTAAGTTCCCAGCTTGGAGATACCGATCGCCGGTTCCTTCGATCGTCGTTGTACGTATATCACGTCGAGAACGATAAGACGCCGTTCGATCGATCGTCCGATCGTTGAGCATCGATCGAACGAGCAAACGAACGATCGCCGAGCAATCGACGTACCTCTAAGCGTACGCGGGCACAAGCCGTGCTCGCGAGAAAACAAGAAAGCGGAGCAAAGGAAGAGTAACCCTTTCTCTAATTTGTCCGAAATGCGGTATAAACGCGAGACCGATACACGAGGGACACGGTGTTCTCCGTTTACATGCAGACGCTATCGCGTATACGCCAACGATCGTTTCCAGCTCGTCCAGAGCACGACGATTCGTCGTCCCCGAATCGGCCGGTACACACGCGTCACATGGGTTGGTCAATTGGCAAGCTGCGAATAGCCATCGTGATATGTCAGACGAAGAGAAGTATATTTGTTGGACAGAAAAGCTTGAAATTACATGTCACCTATATGTATATGTATATGATCGGTGAGAACGAATACAACGTATCGGTGTGGTCAAAGCCGATGTAATACCTATGCGTAACCTCGAAAATTCAAACGAGTCGGTTACGCTTTCTTTTCTTTTTTTTTTCTTTTCTTTTTTTTCTTTTTTTATCTTTTTTTTTTTTTTTTT